AAGTATGTATTCTGCACAGATAAAATGAATTTTACACCTCTTTTTGTTCAGATCAGAATGAAAAAACAGAGATAATTGCATTCAATTATAACATACATTGTATTTTCCAGGTTTCAGCATAGAATCATAGAATCATAGAATAGTTAGGGTTGGAAAGGACCTTAAGATCATCAAGTTCCAACCCCCCTACCATGGGCAGGGACACCTCGCTCTAAACCATATCACCCAAGGCCTCGTCCAACCTGGCCTTGAACACTGCCAGTGAAGGAGCATTCACAACCTCCCTGGGCAACCTATTCCAGTGCCTCACCACCCTAACAGGAAATAATTTCCTCATATCCAATCTAAACTTCCCCTGTTTCAGTTTTAACCCATTACCCCTTGTCCTATCACTACAGTCCCTAATGAAGAGTCTCTCCTCAGTATCCCTATAGGCCCCCTTCAGATACTGGAAGGCTGCTATGAGGTCTCCACGCAGCCTTCTCTTCTCCAGGCTGAACAGCCCCAACTTTCTCAGCCTATCTTCATATGGGAGGTGCTCCAGTCCCCTGATCATCCTTGTGGCCCTTCTCTGGACTTATTCCAACAGTTCCATGTCCTTTTTATGTTGAGGACACCAGAACTGAATACAATACTACAGGTGAGGTCTCACAAGAGCAGAGTAAAAAGGCAGGATCACCTCGTTTGACCTGCTGGTCACACTCCTTTTGATGCAGCCCAGGATACGGTTGGCTTTCTGGGCTGTGAGCGCACACTGAAGCCGGCTCATGTTCATTTTCTCATCGACCAACACCCCCAAGTCCTTCTCTGCAGGGCTGCTCTGAATCTCTTCTCTGCCCAGCCTGGAGCTGTGCCTGGGACTGCTCCGACCCAGGTGTAGGACCTTGCACTTGGCATGGTTAAACTTCATGAGGTTGGCATCAGCCCACCTCACAAGCGTGTCAAGGTCCCTCTGGATGGCATTCCTTCCCTCCAGCGTAGCAACCGAACCACACAGCTTGGTGTCATCAGCAAACTTGCTGAGGGAGCACTCAATCCCACTGTCCATGTCAGCGACAAAGATGTTAAACAAGGCTGGTCCCAACACCGATCCCTGAGGGACACCACTCGTTACTGGTCTCCAGCCTGACATTGAGCCATTGACCACAATTCTTTGCATGTGGCCATCCAGCCAGTTCTTTATCCACTGAGTAGTCCATCCATCAAATTGATGTCTCTCCAATTTAGAGACAAGGATGTCGTGTGGGACAATGTTGAACACTTTGCATAAGTCCAAGTAGATGACATCAACTGCTCTACCCCAGTCCATCAGTTCCGTAGCCCCATCATAAAAGGCCACCAAATTGGTCAGGCAGGATTTCCCCTTAGTGAAGCCATGCTGGCTGTCACCAAGCACCTTGTTGTTTTTCATGTGCCTTAGCATGCCTTCCAGGAGAATCTGCTCCAAGATTTTGCCAGGCACAGAGGTGAGACTGAGTGGTCTGTAGTTCCCTGGTTCATCCATTTTCCCCTTCTTGAAAATGGGGCTTATATTTCCCTTTTTCCAGTCGTTGGGCACTTCACCTGACTGCCATGATTTTTCAAATATGATGGCCAGTGGCTTAGCAACTTCATTCGCCAGCTCCTTCAGGACCCGTGGATGGATTTCATCAGGACCCATGGACTTGTGCACGTTCAGATTTTTAAGATGGTCTCGAACCAGATCCTCTCCTACAGTGGGCCCAAGGTCTTCATTCTCACAGTCCCTGCGTCTGCCTTCCAAGACTTGGGTGGTGCGGTCAGAGCCTTTGCCAGTGAAGACTGAGGTAAAGAAGTCATTCAGAACCTCAGCCTTCTCCAAATCCTGTGTAGCTAGTTCACCTGAGAGCTTCCTGAGGGGGGCCTACGTTCTCCCTAATCTGTTTTTTATTTGCTATGTACCTGTAGAATCCCTTCCTGTTATCCTTAACATCCCTAGCCAGGTTTAATTCCACCTGGTCCCTAGCTTCCCAGACAACATCCCTGTACTCTTCCCAGGCCACCTGTCCTTGCTTCCACTTTTTATAAACCTCTTTTTTCATTTGAGTTTTCCTCAGCAGCATAGTAACCCACCCCCACAATTTTCAGAATCTAATACTGATACTGAAAACCAACACCCCAAACATCAGGTAGCTGACACTTATGTATGTTTGTGCACACAGGCACAGAGGCAGCACAGGTAAACAACCACTCTCCATGTTCTTTTTCAAGGCAACCAATAGCTTGAAAAACATTCTAAAATGAGAGCAAAGAAAGAGTAGTTTTCAGTCCCTAACTTGTTTTCATATAGGGAGGGCATGGGAAGGGGTAAGGAAGAAGTCCCACAAGTTGCTAAAGCAGAAGGAGCAGCAGTTTATGCTCACTGATTCATTTGTGCCATTTACAGGACAGTCTCCTTGTGCAAGATATGGGTTGTGGCTTAAGAGCAAACAAGAAATAGACCTCACAGAGTAAACAGTCTTCAGCTCCTGAATATTAACCCACTGACATTTTAATACAGGCAAGCGACCACAGTTTAAACCTCTACGTGAAGGATGTCCGCTGTCTACTAGGGTTTCCAGGCTGCTTTGCAGCACTGAAGCCTCACAGGTGTTCTGGGACCCCCTGCTTCTCTGACCAGCTGTGACTGACGCTGAAGGCCACTGCACTACCACAGGCACATGGGGTTGTGGAGCAGTGAAAGAGCTATGTCATGGTTTAACCCCAGCCAGCACTAAGCCCCACACAGCCACTTGCTCACTCTCTCCTGGTGGGATGGGGGAGGGAATTTGAAGAGTAGAAGTGAGAAAACTCGTGGGTTGAGATAAAGCCACTAACAGGTAAAACAAAAGCCACATATGCAAACAAAGCAAAACAAGGGATTAATCCAGCACATCCCATGGTCAGGCAGGTGTTCAGACATGACCTGGAAAGCAGGGCTCCATCATGGCAGTGGTGACTTCAGCAGATAAACACCATCACTCTGAATGTCCTCCCTCTCCTAACCCTTCCCCAGCTTTATATGCTAAGCATGACTCCATACGGTATGGAATATCCCTTTGGTTGCTTGGGGCCAGCTGTCCCAGCTGCGTCCCCTCCCAGCTCCTTGTGCACCTGCAGCCTGGTGGGGTGGTGTGAGGAGCAGAAAAGGCCCTGTAAGAGCAAGACCAGAAACGATCTCTGTGTAAGCACTGCTCAGCAATAGCTAGAACATCCCTGAGTTATCAACATGGTTTCCAGCACAAATCCAAAACACAACCCCATACTGGCTGCCATGAAGAAAATCAACTCTACCCCAGCCAAAACTAGCTCAAATGCTCCACTGCCAATGCCTGAAATACAAGCAGGGTGGTGACAAGAGTGCCTGAGCTGTATATGCTGGTGAGGCTAGGAAGCAGTGAAAGCTTCTGTGTGAGAGGTGGCAGAGGGAAGATCCCCACCCCACCAGCCTGAGCAGCTATCTCTGCTATTTCTATTGTTTTCTGCACACATGTAATTTGTATAATTACAAGAGAGAGGATGATTTTCCCCACCCTTCTACCTCCTAATTGCTACATGAAAATACAGCCTTGGGTTCCAGATCTACCCCTCACTGATACTATTTTGGGTTGAAATTAACTCACTGGGGAACCAGGAGGTCTGCTCCAGGCCTTTGCTAAGGCCTGAGACAAACTTTGGGTGTGGGGCAACACCACAGAAAGTGATGCTGAACCTAACTAGACAGCTATTGCAATGATCAGTTACCTCACAGGTATTATTTATGTATTAGAAACTTACTTATAGTTACATAAGTTATTGAAAATAAAGCATTAGTGAGATGAACTGTCCCCATGGAAAGTACTAATATACCTCACAATAAAAGTAGATCTTCTCATTTTTGACAGATGTTATTATTAAAAAAAAAAAAAAAAAGATAGTAATTGTAGAACATTTTCCCCCAGTGTTTCACTATAAAACTAACAGCAGATCCAGACTGACCTCTTTCTAAGCAGCAGCACATGAATGGAGCTTGAAGCAAAGTTTAGCATTTATGTCATGGGAACCCTTATGGAACACTCTTGCACACTAAACACAACAGTGCCTACTGACCACAACTCCAAAGTTTTCTTTTTCCTGTTTTCTTTGCCAAGTAATAACCCAGAGAGCTGAAGCAGTGGCTGCAAACTGGCCTGTATACTGTCAGATGCTACAGTCTAGAAGCCCTCATTAAGGTTCTTCTGCCACCTGTCCTGGGGTCAGCAGTAGCAGTCATTTTTCTTTCTTAGTGGCTGCTGCAGTGCTGTGTTTTTCACTTTCAGCCTGGGAACAGTGCTGATAACACCGGGGTTTTTAGTTGTTGCTCAGTAATGTTTACTCTGACCAAGGACTTTCTGAGTCTCATGCTCTGCCAGGGAGGAGGGGAAGCCGGGAGGAAGCAGAGACAGGACACCTGACCCAAACCGACCAAAGGGGTATTCCATACCACAGCACATCATGCCCGGTACAGGAACTGGGGGCAGTTACCCCAAAGGGCTAGATCACTGCTTGGGTCAGGCTGGGTATCGGTCAGCGGGTGGTGAGTGGTTGTATTCTCTTCCCTTGTTATTTCCCTTATCATTATTATCATTGGTGGCAGCAGCAGTGATTTGTGTTATACCTTAGTTACTGAACTGCTCTTATCTCAACCCGTGGGAGTTACATTCTATTGATTCTCCTCCCCATCCCTCTGGGAGCAGGGGGAGAAAGATGGGGGAGTGAGCGAGCGGCTGCATGGTTCCGGGTTGCTGGCTGGGCTTAAACCACGAACACCACCGTTCTGCATTTCCTCAGTGTGTTGGCAAGACCTCAGAAAACAAACTAATATATGGCAAAGGAAACAATGGTGAAACATTCTGAGACTCTGACAACTGCTCCTTCATTCGGTATTACACCCTCCTTCAGAGAACACCTCAGAATAAATTAACACACATGTGTTTTTAAATTAGTCATATTTTTGCTAGGAGTAATAAGCACCAAGAAACAAGTTAGATTCATAAATGAAAATGTATTTCACCTTTATACATGCTATACAGGTCATGCAAATACAGAAATCTACAGGTTATACAATGACACCATAATAAAATATGACATTCATCAAACAAAATGTATCATAGCAAAACAAACTGGTTTTGTTTGTTTACTATTCAGGGAATAGATGAAGGGCTAATTTGGAAGACATAGTACCATGCTACAGCTTACTGCACAGTCAAAAGAAAGTATTTCTCTGAAGTACACTAACATAAACAGAGCTTGATTGCTGTAGGTATGATTTCTTTACACATCACACATGATGTCATTGGTTTCTTTCCCATTGCTGGCTTTAAAGAGCACAAGAACAGGGCTATAACTGAGCTCAAGCTATACTGTGAACCCCCTTACTAGTGGGAAAAAAAAAACCAAGCAAAAAAGAAACCCACCCCCCAAGTTTTGTGTTAGTGTCTGAAGAGAGCTGTATTTATAGTTTATTTTTATATGGAATTGGGCAAAAGTGTTCTCAAAGCAGCACAAGATCCAGCATAAAGTTATCTTAGTTCACCTGCAGAAATAAAGTTAGTACTGTATGGCACATAATGGCTAGATATTATACATCTCAATGTGACTTTTTCCATACATATGCATAGAGAATGTTAAGGGGGCTACAAGCGTTCCCCATGTGTGCCTTGGCCTTTGTATTTCTGCTGCAACATTCAGATGCTGTTTTGCTGCTGACTGAATCTTGTTTTGTAGAGCCTACAGGAAGACAAAATACTTCTCCACATGATAGAAAGCCCGCTGGTATTAATCAAGTGTCTGCATCTTCAAAGATTAACATATAATCTCAGCCCCCTGACCACTCATCACTTGGATCTACTACAACTATACTATATATATATATAAAAGGATTACACCAGGCGTTTTGCCTACATTGTTTACAGGTGTTACACAAGTATATTTTTAAACACATAGCTGACAGTCGCTCCTGAAATAATTAATATTAACCAGTAAGTGCTACTAGTGACTAGAAGTGTCAATATAATCATAACAGGATAGCTCCCACACTCCACAGTCAGTGAAAACGTTCTTCTGATTCCAGAAGTTGTACATCTTAAGCCTCTTCAGGTATAGTTTTGAATTATACACCTGCATAAGAGTTGCCAATAACTCCTTATTAAAGACAAAAAAAGATAGGCACAAAACTAACGTCCAGTATATTATTTCATTTCAATGCACTGTGGGCAAAACTCATCATTATTTACAAGAAAAAGACGTTTAAATGGATGAATGATAAAGCTGAGGGAAAAACTATTTCAAAAATAAAATGCACAGGTGTCACAGTGAGGTGTTGAGATGAGTTTTAAATTAAAAGTAGTAGTAAGTGCTTTATTAGCAGCTAAAGCTCAAATTCTAATGCACACTCGAGTCTTCCCTGAAACCATCACGCCTCTAGATCACTGGTTTCTACCAAAAGCAGCCAGTTATTCAACATATTCCCTGGGAAGACACAGTTGTAGTCAGCTCTGATTATTTGAAATCCAGTGCTCAAGGACTGCAGAAGCTCTTTCAAGTGACAAGCTCATATTTTACTGCCAGTAGCATCACTGGGATATAGCTCCTCCACAAATTGCTACCTCTGTCAATTAAAAAAAAAAGGAGAAGAATATAAAGTCAGCTGTGCAAGTTAATGACCTCAGTTTTTTAATTTAGAATACGCTCTCTCAAAAAATATAGTAAGGTGTCACTGAAGCCTACTATGCTATTTTACTATGCAGGCTTTCCAGGAGAAGTGATTCTACACCATGCAGTAACTATTTACGGGAGCAGAAAAGAGTAAGCAGGAACAGTAACTACCATTTTCTAGACTGGCCCCAGTTCTAACCGTTTTCTTCATGCAAACAGGCTCCAAAGACTTACAGGAAGGGTATTAATAAAGGGAAAACCCAACTCTTCTCACTATATTCTGTACGCATAAAGGATATGTTTCCATTTACCAGACGCTTTTGGTTGCTATGATATGCTCAGTTTGCATATGATGCCAGTTTACAGAGAGCTGCAAATATGAAGGATTACATGGCGTTTAAATATCTAGGAGATCAGCTTTCTTTCTCTCTCCACATATGCTGTTTACAACTGCTATATTTTTCTGGGAAGCTCGTAAGTAATCACAGCAATTTATCACATCTAAGGTATTTATCACAATACTGTACCTTTATCTGTTCTGCTGAAAAGTGAGGTTGTCAACAGATAGAATTAAGTGTATTTTCCTGTCCTGGACTGTTAAATCCCTCAATTAAGTTCTTGTTACAGTCATCTAGGCTAATGGTATCACTGGACATCTTGGAGTACGTAGCTTGGCCTGTGAAATCCAAGAGATCTTCAAGAGCCTTGGCATTACTTGTCCCATTCTCATCCAAAGAAACACCAGGCATGAGTTCATTCATGGGTGAATATTCAGGGATAGAGATTAGTTCTTCTTTTGAAACTGGGCTATATAGAAGATAAATGAAAGGAAGATGGAGAATAAGAGGTGTGCAACTTTTCACTGAGCAACGATCAAACTGATCTTCTGACTGTTCAAAAACTACCACTTATTTTAAGGTCAGCTGCAATAAGCCTTTACCTAGAATACATCCCTGTCCAAACAAAAAGAAGTTGCCCTGTTTAGGATGGAAGGCCATTCTTAATCTATATTCCTTAAAGATTACGGTCTGTGGTAGCTGTGGGATTCAAACGTTATCAGCAGGTTGAAGAAAAGAGTTGGATAAACATGTGGGCAACACAGCCACCAGTGGCCAAATCAGAGCTGTACCCTGCAACATCCCTAATATAACACTTCTGTGTGGTCGTGGATTGCAGAAGTGGGGGGCTCAGGTGGTGTCCCCAACTAGTTTTTCCTATTGATACACTCTCACACCAAATAAAGGGCTATACAGACTTCTGGAGTGTGTCAGTAGGGCATTTCTTATGTATTTATGCATATTTACTGGAAATATTGAAACACTATGAGAGGCTCAGTCAGCTTACTGAGTAAGGAAAAACCATATAAATATTTAAAATTCAGAGCTAACTTTCTTGTTGCAGCCTTAAATTATCAACTTCCTTCTTTCCTGCAAGTTCTTCCATCAAAATCCAACAGTATTTAATACACACAAAGTTATTTACTGATTGCTATACATCTGTTCCAGTTAAGGACTTAAAATTTTAAATTCATATTTTTGTTACTCTGTATGGAGGGAGAAAAGTTTGTGAATCGCAGCTATGCAGTCTTGAGACAAGTAAGCAAATGGTGATATCAGAACGCTATCTACAGTAGCTACTTTCACAGAACGATCTGAGAGTTCTGGGCAAATTTGTATGGAATCTGTAAGGAAGGGCTACAGAAGGATTTCAGAGCCTCTGACCCTGCACCAAATACGTGAGTGAAATGAGGTTCTGTTGACTCATTCACATCCTGACAGGAATGGAGTACGCCACAGTGGACACCTGACTACCACACTGTGAGGCAGGTGAGAAGTAAAGCAGTAAAGTATAAACAAATGAAACAGAAAACTTTGTACATGTCTAACATGAATTCCATGATTTGAATTGGTAGACATGATCTGTACCTCACATCCATGGACTGAACCTCATCCATTGAATCTTCCATGCTGTTAGACTTCCCGTTAACAGCTTCCGGCTGAATAAATCCTGGGGCTGACTTTAATCCATTAGCAACTACATCTTGGGAAGGGATTACAGGGGCACCACTTTCTAAACTTTTATTTTTCAGGCAGGTTGCCAATCCATTGATCTCTATAAAAGAAGGTTAGAAATTGTGACAGGAGCAACTTCTTTATGTAAATAGTTAAAAAACAAATCACAAATGCTTTTAAGTTATAGATCAAGTAGAAAGGAAGACTGACAATGCAGCAGGATTCATCTACAACTCATCATATGATACTGTCAATCCTCTTTTCCACTCATTTATATTTGAGAGGAAGAGAATGTTTTATCTTTTATATCATATATTAAAAGACTTTGTCTGGGGAAGCAAACAAAATATAGACAAATGCCAGATATGTATATTTAATTTAATAATTCTTTGAATACATATGCTATTTTTGTAAAGTCAAATTAAATGTAAGACTTACATCAATGCTATAAAAAGCTTTCAAGCTTGGCTGTGTGCAAATATTTTCTACCTACAAAACATGAAGGTAGATTGCAGCAACCAAACCTATTGGCAAATTGGAACTTCCCATTTACAGAAGTGCTCTGTCAAGTACCGAAAGGGAGAAGAAACTTTCTTCTGCTTAAGTGGCACAACAAAGCAAAGTCTTTATTTTCTAACATTTGTCACTAATGCAAAAGTAGTTGTTCTTTTCAAAATGAAAGCAAAGAATCTGCAATAAGACACAGTGCTCTGCCTAAGACTACAAAACTCTGAAGACAAATAACTGTGAAAACAGGTCAAAACACATGGCAATTTTCACCTGGCTGGTTGAGAACAAGGGCCTTTGGATGCCTTTCCACATTCAAAGTTGATGGTACCTCCGGTTTTGTCTCTTCCTTCTGTAATCAAGCAATGAGTCAACTGTATGAAGGATGAAGGATTAACCTCCATAGAACTGACTGGATTCAAAACTTGTGAGACTGCCCAGGGCCACAGGGTGGTTAAATGTCACTGACAGCAAGAGAGGATTTTCGTTTTCCTTCTTAATTAGGCATAGGATTTTGTTTATTTATTTTTAACATCAAAAAGAAATGTTCTCTGAAAGTAACCAAATAAACAGTTTCCTTAGTTGCAAACCTGACCATCACTTTCAAGCTGGACACAACTGCCTCATTCTCAATCCTACACTGCTGGCAGATTTAACATGATAGCTCAGTAACTAATTCATTGCCTGGTACAAAGAAGGAGAATATGCATCACAGCAGCAAAATTACAGCTCCAACATCCAGGAATGAGCTCTTGGCACCTTTCTAACCATGAGGAGGGTAAGTTTGCAACAGTTGCATAAAGCTGTTTCTGTAGCAGCAGCCCAAAATAACTGCAACACAGCTACTACAACACTCATTCTGTTTGAAATGCAACTAAAACTTAGGTGTAGAGTCTAGGTAAGGATACCTAGTAACACAGAAATACTCTAGAGTTTAATTTTTACATATTGGTAATAAAACAAAAGAAACCTGCCAACACACAGTGTTTCATACCTTTATTTCTGGTGTTTCACTCCTCCTTGTTCTCTTCATTATTTCATCTATTCTCTAGAAATCAGAATAAATTGGAGAATGAGAAGGCAGAGAATGCCAGAGACTGATAATGGAGAAAAAAAAAAAGAAAACCTTTTCTTTACGGCCATGACTTCATCCCTGCCTATCTTGAAAAAGTGAGAATAAATAAGAAGAAACAGAAAACAAAAGGTAGAAAACACCTGGGAGCTGGCTTTCATATCTCAGATCTTACAGAACATGACTTCCTCAGTAGATGCAATTTAGAGACAAACATTTTAATACCAGGTGCTTGCAGTTACAAGTTGTGCTCGGATCTGGAACAAGACATTTATTTAAAGCCAACAGCTATTATTTTCATCTAATTGTTTTTCCAAATAGTTCCTTTAAAAAAACAGCTAGGTGCCTTGGAATGGAAGAGTAAAATGAAATACCTGACATTATTCTTGCTGGAAATGCAGAAGGCATTACCCTAAAATACTTCTTTTTTTTTTCTTTGTTCGTTTAAAAATCAAAAACCTTCCCAACAAATCTTGTCTCTTTGCACTACTGCGAAAGGAAACTATTTCACATTTAACCATTTTGGTTTGGTATTCTAATCTGCAACTGCAATGTGCCTTCAGCTCAGCAGTAATCAGCTGGAATACGAAATAATATATTGGAATAACATATATGGAAAGATGACTTTCTTATAACCAGGCAGAGGCTCTGCAGCTGTTCAGTCTTTTCTGGCAGAGCTGTAGATAAAGCTAATTTATGCAGCTCCAGCCATTTCCTTGTGAGGTGGTGGCCAGACAGCCCTGCTGCCTCTGCATAATGCAATTAGAGACAAGCCAGGTGGGAGAAAACCTGTTTGTTAATCACATTAACTTTCTCCATTAATGACAGGGAGCTTTTGTTGAGTAAGTTTTAAAGCAAAGTTATGTTCCTCAATAGTCTGTGATGTTCTGGGTTGGGCGGCAACCGAGGTTTGCCTTGGCATGCCATTCTCTGTTTGTCTCAGGCATTTAACTTTGTGGGTAGAGGCTAATTCTGTGTTTGTTCAGTACCTAGTAGAAAACCATTTGCCTCAGGCAACTCCACTTTGTGGCAGATCTTGATGTCCATGTTCCCCTAACATGCAAGCAGCAAACACTAAGTTACGCATAAACATCCATCCAGATTATTATTTCTAGAAACCATTGGGTACTTTCTGGGTTATGTATTTAAACAAGAAATGAAATAATAATCTTGAGAAGCAAGTATCTACCTTCTTCCGCTCCAGCCTTTCTTGCTCAATTTGCTGCATGATTTGCTCCCTTTCAAGACGAAGCTGCTCAGCTGCCTCACGGGCTTTGATTTCTGCTTCTTCCCTCTAATAAAAATGTGTAAAATATGATGGGGCCATTATTTATTTCAGGCATATTACCAGATGATACAAAGTATGTGTATATAAAAATACATGTATACATATATATGTACATAAAGTTTCACATTTGTGTTTGAGATGGTACCTGTTTCTCAAGTTTGGCCTGGAGCTCTTTTTCTTGCCTTTCCTTTAGCATTTGTTCTTCCTCAGCTCTTTTTCTGGCTTCCTCTTCTGCCTTTTTCCTAGCTGCTTCTTCCTCACGTTTTCTTTCCTCTTCCTTCTTACGAGCTTCTTCCTCTAGACGAAGTCTTTCTTCTTCTGCCTTTCTTTTCTGTTCTTCTCTTTCAAGCCTGCAAAAAAATTAACTGCATGTTTAAAAGGCAAAATCTTGTTTAGCATGAACTGTATTGTATGTCTGGCACACAATCAGCAGGAACTGACAATATATGCATCAGCACACATTTTCACAAAAAATGCCAAGATACAGCAAGGAGGTTGAGTACATACTCAGAAGTCAGGTTGCTATCAAGCTTTTATTCCAATCTTACTTTCACTGCCTAAAATGTTTCATAAAAATTACAATTTCCCTGAAAAAACAGGTGTGACCAAAGAAAAAGAAAACATTTCCGTTCTAGTTTGAATTAGATCTTCAAGAATAAAAGCAAGTTTCAATAATAAATCATCCCTCTTTCCCTGTGCTTCACACCCAGAATGCAGATATCTATAAGATAAGCACGTACTTTTTTTCCTTTGTTTCAGCTGAAGATTAACAGACTGGATGAGTAGCAGAAAACAAAGTCCACAAAACAAAGTTGTACATTAGGAAGAGTGGGTCTAAATTCTACCTGCATTGTTCCCTGTCCCACTGGGGGACATCATGCTCCTTTGTCACCACATGCCAGAGCTGTTTTGACAAGTGATCATTCTTATCCTTGCATATCAGGGATTCAGTGCCAAACCTGCAGGCACTAGTGATTCCCCGCCCCAATGTTTTCAATAGGAACAGACAAAGTTGAATTTAGACATGCAGAGTTAGTGATTTACATTAGGGACTTGAAGGAAGGGCATGATCTGCTGACACTTGCAACCAGTATCCCATGTGGAAAGCAACCTCAAAGCTTGCTCCCAGAACAGAGATAGAATTTCACTATTTAGACACAGCAATCCTCATTATGCCCATGCTAAAAGCCTTTAACTGTCTACATCAGAGTTGAGCAGGTTGATTTGTTGAATGATACAATGTCCACACTGCAGTGTAGACACTGGTGAAGTATTTGGATGAGTAATAGTTTATTCAGGCTTCTTAAAGATGCCAAATTATTATTTTCTAACTTCACTAGTCATAAAGACTGCATAAGACACTAATGCATTACGAGCCTGAGTTGAAAGACATTAACACTTACATGCGAACTCCCACACTGATTCTAAAAATACCCAGTTTCAAGCATCTTCAGTGATACAGGTTAAATTATTAGATAATAATTTTCACAAATCAATAGAGATACCTCTCCCGTTCTTCTCTCTCCTGTCTCTCTTTTTCTTCTCGCTCCTTTTGCAGGCGGGCCTGTCGTCTTTTTTCAGCTAGAATTTTTGCTGCTTCTTCTGCATCAGTTGTTCCTACCATGATCTTCCCTAAGAGATGACAACCAAGGGTGGAAAGTTAGGCAGGGAACAAAGAGAGTGCCCAGAACTTCCACATTCACACAGAGGCTGAAATGGGCCTGGTTCACGCTAGTATGACACCCTAGCATTCCAAAGCACACCTCAGCAAACACGGGATAGGTAAGGGCATCCCTGGATTTTAATATTTTCACATCCTCATTAACAACGAGTTTTTCATGCATGGGTAACCCTGGTGAAAACTATCCATTTACTGGTTACAGTATCTACTTTTACACACTCTCTTGACCCTATGACTGAGCAGCTTCATGACAGGAACATGTAATCACTGCTTAAAAGCCTCACTGACCTATGCTATCTTGCAATATATTCTAGCAGTAGGACTCACCTTCAACATTTTCAGTCTTTCCTGCAGAAGGGACATGTTTCTCAGAAGCCACTTGGCCTGCCTCATCAGTGTGTGCTCCTGGGGATTTTGGATGACTGACATTTTCTTTCTCCTTGTCTACTTTCTTTTTAGGAGTTTCCTGGTTGAGATTAGAAGTGGCACGATGCTTCACAGGAGAAGCTGGATATTGTTTAGTGCTTTTAGGAGACTGAGGATAAGTCTTTGCAACTGCCCTGATGAGGGAAAACAAAAATCAAAGCAGTCCATTATGTTACACAGCTAGGAATCAAATTCCATCATTACACGTACCTTTCCTCTCTCTTGTCTTTGGCTACATAGGAATTATCAGCTGTTTTGCACAACGCTGCACAGAAACTATCTGGATGCAAACAATTGGAACCTGAAATGGAGGGAACTGGCATGCAAGTGCAAACGACTACAGAGTTCTTATTTTAAAAGTCCACCGTCTTTAAAACTACTGTCCAAGTTGTAGGCAAGAGCTATGAAATCATAAACTACTTAAACCAGTTACTTTAGCAACAGTCATTTCATAACAATTTTACCAATATTATTGTATTCAACAGCCCTTCTCAACATTTAAAGCAAAGTTATGGCTGCTTTCTCTCTGCAGAAATTACGATGAGTTGCAATGTACTGCTTTCATCTGACTACAGTTTTGTCAAGTACAGTCTTTTTCTAACAGTGTCTGGTTTTCCAAAACAGCACCAAATACTACTGCGCACAAAGGTAAAGCTGGGTACCACAAAAGGAGACAGAACTGACCAAACCACTGTACAGTCAGTTCTGCTGTTCCAGTTTGTGCTTTCATCAGCACCAACACTACAGGCTCAATGCTCAAAAATCAGCCCCTGCAGCCTTCTACAGGGCTGCACTTGTAATGATAGCAATACACAGCAACAATGCAGCCGATTGCTCATTTGGCTGGTGCACACCACAGGTGAAATAACAACCCTGAAGTCAGTCCTGGAAAAGCAGAATGGCAAAGATATTTGATATTCACTGAAAACAGATGCACATTAAAGAGAACAGATTACCAGGAAACATAAAACTACACCCAAACACCATTTATTATTTATGTAATACCAGTAACGAGCACTAAATACTTGTAACATTAAGAAAGGCCAGCCTGTGCAACTAAGTAGCATGGAATGAAAGAGATTACAATCTTAAAATAGTGATTTATGTGAGTCCCATTAGAATAAATAATCCTACATTAAAGTGAACGTTACACATGCAGTTTTAAGTTTCCTTATGGATATGCAATTATGATACAAATGTATTACCCCTTATCACTTTTTGCATAGAATCATATAATCAACTAGGTTGGAAAAGATCTTTATGATCGATCAAGTCCAGCCATTACCCCAGGGCTGCCAAAGGCCACCAATAACCATATCACTGAGGGCCTCATCTAGACAGTTTCTGAACACTTTCAGGGATGGCGATTCCACCACTTCCCTGGGCAGCCTGTTCCAATGCCTGACTACCCTTCTGTTAAAGAAATATTTCCTAATATCCAGTCGGTACCTCCCCTGGTGCAGCTTGAGGCTGTTTCCCATTTCATCTACACAACATGGAGTTTAATATACTGTAACACGCTTTCTGGACTGTACACTCATTCTGGCAGACCACAGGCATGAAAAACATGGACAATGGCTAAAAATTAATGGACTGGAGTGGCAAGTTTTGTACAGCTCTAATTATAGCATTGTATGGCCAGAGACTATTCTAACCTGAACAACATTTGCATCACAGAGTAGACAATAAAAATTAAATGCCTTTCAACTCCAGACAAATTCATGAATTCAGGAGAAGAAAGGGTTATTTGCTACCATATTATGCTCCATTTGAAAGATACTGAGAATACCAGAATATCAGAAGCTCATTCAGAGCTGGTGGTTTGTGGGCAGGAAGACTGCAAAGTATTGCACCACCGGTACTTTCTTACTCCCACTGAAGAGCCATCAGACTCCAAAAGCCCTTGGGCTGGTAGAACAGTAGCACTCAAGTAAATTTGAAGTTCAGCTCAGGTACCCTCTGCCTGCAGGCATAGGAGCCTCCTGTCAGCTCAGGCCTTCGCCTTTGGTCCTTGCCTGAGCTAAACCATAGGTAAGCCTGTTCCTGGCCTCTTAACCTGCTGATCCTGCCCTGTCCTTGGACCTGCCTCAGTAAGGGCTTTGCTGACTATCACTGGACTCTCGTCTGACCGTGGTCACCATCACCAGACCTGCTCTGGTCACTTCTTTTGTCTGCTGTGGGATGGGGTCCTCTGGGTGAGGTTCCTGTCCCTTGTCTGCCCTGCTGCCACCCTTGGCTTCTGGCTCTCTCTGCCTTGCAGGGCAGCCTGACAGAAACAGGCCTTGGAAGATGTGGACAGGCAAGTCTGTCCCCACGTCCTGCACAAAACAGCAATGGGAGAAGTAAGTGAGATTGGCTAGTGTTGAACAAACCTGGTTTTAGCACTGTCTTTAGTTTTCTCTTTAGAATATAATTGGATTCCCAGCCCTTCAAAAATCAAAAGCAGAGATTTTAAGGCCCCACCTGCATACATAGGTCTTGTTTGTGCTTCACCATTACAATAATTTCCAACTGCATTTCATAAAAATATAACATGTAAATAAAAATAAATCAACTTTTTTCTTACTAATCTGACACTTCTTCAAAACAGTCCCATCTTACTGTCTTTGGTTTATATTTCCAACTTTACCACACATCCCTTGCAACACTTTTTATTTAACTTGTTGTGACAAGAGGAGCAAAACAGGCTAATAACTAAGGCTGAGTCATTTTCAGTATTAGCACAGAAGTAATTGTTCTCTAATAAAGACATGACAATCACATTAAAGAGGTGGGTAGGAAGAAGTCTAGTCATGAGAGTTATGCATCTTGCACTGAATAGGAATTAGAGCAGACTGGCTGTACAACTTACCTGCTGGACTAGAAATTAAATGAACACTGTTTTCCCTTTTGTATTTAAAACATATTGTCAACGTAGCATCTTTAACATGAGTGGAATTGTTACTAGAAAAAACACTCCTCCTGATAGTACTTAAATGATGCAACTTTTCACCAGAAAGGGCCAAACTTAATTGTGAAGACAGAAAACTAGGATTATGAAGGGAAAATGTATACAAACTTGCGTAGGAGTCTGCTTAGGTTTAAAAATTGTTTCATTTTTGCCTTGGGAGAAAAGGAAAGGGATGTTATGAAACCCTTGTAAGAATGTGGGAACACAGAAGTGTGCTGATGAGGAAACGAGAGAATTAAGATGACAAATTGCCAAAGCCCAAGAAGTGGCAGCATGTTAGTTGCCTGAAAGTTCTCTTATTTCAGTTGCTGGATTTTACAGAACACAAACAGGAAACATCTTCCTCCCTCCAGGAGGTCTTTGTTTTCTCACCTAAGTGCCCTGTGTTGACAGGGGGGCAGCAGCTTGCAAGAAGCCATTCTCATCATGAACTCTATATGCATTTCAAAGAACCTCTACCAGGTCTGAGGACCAACTGGTCCTTAAATCACAAGGTTTCTTACTTAAATAAAAGAAGGATACAAACGAATGTCTCAGGAAGAGCATAAGAAGGGGCCTGAACTTACCTTTGCTAAGCAGAGAAAATAAAGTACATGTAGTACGTGAGTCAGAGGTCACATCCTATTCTGTCCACAAACAGCAAGGGAGAGAACAGCATGCTGTCTTGAAAAGCCAGGTGTGTGACAGGCCGCTGGTTACAGCAGTTCAGAAGGCTGACTGTAAATCAGAAATCTGCAGCAATGCCAGAGCTGCATTTTTTTTTTCTTCTCTTAATTCAAGAAAAGCTCTGCTAAAACCACATCAAGCACTAGTATGTTCTCAACGCTGCTTTCTGAGATTCCTCTGATGAAAAGCTATTCCTGGGTTCTCTACTGGGGTATTGGGCATTGGGTACTGGTACTGGGTTCTCCGGCTCTGCTATCTGTAGTATTTTCTCAAAAGCAGTTTTCTTTCACTTTTCGTTTTGATCCTTTCTACTCAGGAATAGACTAATTTTCCTCTTACACTTCCTAACAGCACAAGCTCAGTGTAGGTCTATAGGATAGCTATTTTGATAGCTGCATTATTAGCAGTGTTTTCAAAATCTTCAATTGTCCCATTCTCTGGCTACCTGCTGAAAAAAAAATCAAAATAGTCTTGATCCAATATTCTCCCCACTCTTTTTATCTCTCCAGGGCAAAACAAAGATCAAGAGTAGTAAATGCAGCACATATCAAATAATAATCTAAATAAAATCTAAAACTAGGTCACTGCAGAACATAGCAGCTACTTCTGTGAGGAATTCACCACATGTAGACACCTTTCTAATAAGTAATTTTTTGCCCCTTTCTCCTTCTCATGTGAGGTAATGCTTTGGCAAAAAAGCGTAACACTGAACATTCCATTTTTATTCACTGGCTTATACTATAGCTTATCTGAAGACACTTAAGACTAAATCCTACTTCCTTGATTCAGTCATGTCCCATTGATTTCAAAGGGAAATCACACAAAGACCTGTGAAGGACACAGGCTTTGTTCCTTTGCCGATCTATAAGATAGGACACTCACCTATTCTCTGAGGGATACTGCAAGAATAATCTGATTAATATATAGATATTTGAAGATAAAGCATCAGAAAAAAATTGCCAAAATATGGTGTTATTGATCTTGTGAAAGATCTGAAGAACAGGAGCACTTTACACAATCAATATCCAACAGCAATCGTAAAAATAAAAGATAATTTCTCAATTATCCCAGCTCTCTAACCCATTAACTTTCATCTTTGTCAGCTGATCCACACTGGATTCAAAGCAAAAATTATTGGTTTCTTTCTTGTGTGACATTTCTTGATATATTCACTTTTTCAAATATCTTCAAGCTTTTAATTCCTTCCTTGCTTCTAAGTATAGCTCATCATATTTCTACTTTTCCACTCTTTTCTCCTTTTTAGGTTCATATTTGTTCACTCATTTTTCTCTGGATATTGTATTTTTGGGCTGATCTGTTTTTATTTCTCAGTAAAATTTGTACCTTCAAACACTTATATTTTATTGATGCAAATCCATCCTGACGTCAATCACTGTCTCTCTTTAGGTTGAAGTTTTATTACCTTGTTTGAGCCTGTTTCAGTTACTTTACTATGACAAAAAGTGTTTTTAAATTAATAATTAATGAAATAATATGTAAAGAAGATAAGCAACTAAAACACAAAATAAGATGATGACTGTGAAGAATTAGTACCTAGAACAATGCCAAGAAATGTCAAGCCACATATTTTTCAGAAAAAGGCATACAGCTAATTATAATTTAAAGCACTGGCTGTACTTGATTCTTTCCTCAACAGCTTTTGAAGTTAAGGTGCTATACAGGATCACTAACTAGTAATGCCACACAATATGTGTTCTTATTTCTTCCAGGGTGTTTTTCTGGCCATATGGTATGCTGGAAGGAGAAAAATAAAACTTATAAAAGACTGTCAAGGTTTGCAAGGAGAACGAGCATTTGTCTACATATTCAGTCACGTTAAAAACTGCAAGTTCCACAGTTAATTTTAAATTAAAAAGTAAGATTATAACAATCTAAAGAAAGGTTCCAAAAGCCTCACTGCCTATATTTAAATCCATTGACCAGTCAGATTGTCAACTGGCATTTGAGTTGTATGAAGAAATGTGTCACTTTTATATAGTAATATAACATGGTCATCAAAATGCCTTTTTAAATTTTATTTTCCATTTCTGAGGAGAAGTTTTGAGAGTGCTCAAGCAGAACAGTCTTTCTGCAATCAGTAATAAACATGGATTTAAACTCTATCCACTGTATCTCTCATAAGGTCAAGGAGGGTCTTCTAATTGGGCCATGTTAAGATTAAATACTCAGTAATACATTTCCGGCAGTGGTCAGAATCAGATTCTCTTGAGAAAGAGGGAGGGAAGAAGGAAAAAAGGGTAACTAACGTGGCTCACAATCACAGTGAAACCCACAAGTAGGCTTCTTAATTCCTCCATGCAGCATCTCCTTCTTCCTCTAAAAACAATAGTTTATATTCCTTATAGGCAGGAAAATATTCTACTATAAAAAGGTTCTAATGATTTGCACCTCTGGGAAGAGTCTTCACCTTTTCCTAACCTTCTATGGAAATTAGTGCTACAAATTAAGACTGGGCATGCTTCTTTCATGAAGCACTAAATTGCTGTTTGTTTCACAAAAGCTTTTCCTATTTTCCCCCAGATGCCTCTATGATGAGCTATGCCAACTTTTTTAGTGTCTGCCCATCACAAACTGCTTCACTCTCCATTATCCATTTCCCACCAATCATCTTGTTTAACTGAATCTCTCTTGGTATGCCTTTTATACTGGCTGAGTGAACCAAAAGATGCGTGCCAAACAGGGAATATCAGTACTTGCAGAATAAGACACATTTTTATAGCTCAGACTTTTCTCTATACATTTTGGAATGCCCTGCTCAAAACTGTAATGGAAAAGAAGCTGACTGCCATTAACATGCCATATTATTCTATTTTTTACTGAATTTACATAATTCAGAACCTGATGACATTATTTATATATAAATATATTTGAGAATTCTTAGCCTTACATTATGAACCAAGAACTGCAATTTCCCAGTTGCATGCAAGGGGTTGTGTAAAATGGAAAGAATGCCCAGAGTCAGATGGTTTCCTGTATTTTGCCTGACACCAGATTCACACATAATATCATCCTCTGTTAAAAGACTATGCACTCAGAGCTGAAACAGAAAACACCAGTTAGTTTTTGAAGCAGGAAAAAACGTGTCAGAAAGGTGCTCAAAGACTAGCGCAGAACATGGCCAGGTTCAGACTTGAAAAAAATTAGAATCAGACAAAAGGAGATAAATTTCAAGACAGAAGTGGGACCCACGGACAGGGTCTGGGGAGTGGAAAAAAACAAAACCAACCAAAAAAAAATAATCAGACAACTACTGTCCACCATGACTACTTTAGCATACTTCTGCATTTGAACAAGACTTAATATCCTGTTCTAAGAAAGCTGAAAACACATTTGTGACTTGTGAGTTGAAGGCTGCGGTACACAGACTACAGATCTGGGTGTCTGCAAAAGCCAACTAAAAAAAGCCACTCAATTGCTAGTACGCCCATATATGCTATAGGTCCACAAACTCTGCATTAAAACAAAAACACCCAAGACCAAAATACAAAAAAACAGCAACACACACACACACAAAAGCACACAAAAGCACACAAAAAGAAGCACAAGAATCAACAAACCCAGAGAGGTCTGCAAATAAGCAAAGATTAAAACCGATGGTTTAGATGACGCATAGTTAAGTACATTTATGGAACCAGATGGTCATGCTAGCAATAGGAAATGTATATATTAAATGCTGGAATATCTAGGTAGTATCCATGTTCTGTGCATTTCTGCACATTAGGCAGAGTTCCTTCAAAACCAAATAAAAATCATGTTTAAAAGTAAATGTTAAATAAAATTTCACATGAATTATGAAATGAACCACAGTAATTTCAGAAGACAGAAAAGGAAGAGAAGTGTCACTAGTAAGCACTAACACAATCTTATATATATCTGTTCATCTACAGATCTCTTTCCCTCTCTCTCCATCTGTATATATGTGTATGTGTGTGTGTATAACTAAAATTAACTAGATTTTGTACAACACTTCAAGCGAAGTTCCTTAAGAATCTAGGTCTGCTCCTAAAATGCTCACAGCATATTACACTGCTAATAAGAAAGGCATACTTAGGTGTTGCAGGTGATGCAGATCTTCTGGACATGGCAGCAGGAGAATCAGACCTTCTTAGAGGAGATCCCATGCCAGATGATGAACCAGGTGTTGCAGGTCGCTTCTCTTTCTTTATCTTCTCCGTCTAGAAGCACAGTTCATTTTAAAGTTTCCATGATTTGGACCAACCCGTACAAAATCTACTTAATGGTCTTATTAACAAGATGGCATATAAACAGATTTGCATAACACACATTTAAGGTAAAAGTTTTTTTAAACATCAGCTCACAGCTGAGGTACAATAATTTTTCATTTTACATGGACTCCCCCAGTGTTTTGCATGGAGGCTGTATACAAGTTGCAGGTAAGTAACATCGCATCACACCCTCTCCTAGAGCTCTTGGAAAGGGTGGCAGCACTGGGTGGAGGTTTCAAAATCATCTATATGCTCCTGCAACACGTCTTGAACATGATCAGTTGTGCACCCAGGCATCCTGCAGAAATGCTGCTAGATGTGACACTGTGAATCACAACTAACAGAGACAGTACATATATCTTTAGCTCCCAGCTTTGGCTCTCTCACTTGTAGCTGATTTAGATGGCAGGAATCCCCCTACTATTACCTATCACAAGACACAGAACCTTATGTGAATTATACAGCCCTAGCACATATGTTTTTTAAAACATGCCTTACATTGTATAGACTCAGTGAAGGTGAATGATGTAGCTCTGCTTTTCTGGAAACTACAGTGGATCAATAATGAATCTTTTAAGCAAACGGCATTATAAACGTCCACAGAAAGAGTTAAGCAATTGGTACAAAACAGAGGCATTACCACTTAGCAAGTTTCTGAAATATGTGAAGCTTGCTAATTAACCAGTAAGACTGGTCATACTCAGTAGAGACCCTATTTGTCATCCCTGCTCCCAGAAGTTACAGGCAAGTCCAGAAACGCAGCTCAGTGCCAGAAATCTCAGTTCCCTGAAAATAAAGGTGTTGCTGTTCCAAATACCAAAACTCAACACTGATTTCAAGGAGGAAGAAGATATTAAAATGCTGCTAAACAGGAGCACAAAAACAAGGCTTACTTTCTTACTGCTGTTTCTTACAAAAGGGTTAGCACTTTATTTTCATGAATGTAAAAAGGAAAGATAACGACCAGAAACCACATCAGCCTACCCAGAAGTGAAATCAAAGCTACTGCAAACCCACCTGAGTAACTTCAGCTACAGCTGCCCCTTTCATGACATTGGAAGTGGAGGGTGAAGTTGCTTTCTTTCTGTCAGTGCTTCGGGTGGGGGAATTCTTGTAGGGAGATTTAAGAGGACTAGCTGGTGCTACACGAGGACAGATATGGAATACTAAAGAGTTATAGTACAATAGCAAGAGCAAAAGGGAGCACAGACAGAGGAAGTAAAGGAGACGAGAAAACAGCATACTGTTATGTTATAATGGTCAAAGGCAGGTTTCAAAGTTTTTTAAAAAGTGTTTCAAAAGACTGCATTATTCAACATGGTCCCATGTTTACTAAAAATAACTTAAAGTAACATTGTATAGGATTTTTGTATGTTTTTAAAATACCTCTAAAATATCATTCTCTTATTTCTACAAATTTTGAACAACATGACTAGTACTGTGATTCCTTTTTCTTCTAAAAAGTCCGGCTTCCTTTGCGTATGATAAAAAGGAATAAAACAATTCTAGCTGGGTGACTTTTGAACAAATAGTGCAAAACAGTGAAGGTGACAGAAGTGTAGGGAATTTGTTTTTTTAAGAGCCTAAACATGGCAAGTACCTTAATTTCTTGTCAAAATAGTACTTAAAATAAACAAACCCTACAAAAATAACCACGCCCAAATCTAAACTAAATGCTGCTGTAGGTATTTCAGTTATTGTTTTTTATGGCAGACATCAGTTTGAGTGTGACACATGCATTACTGCTATTTTCTCCTTATTTGCAATATGAACAGGATCTTTAAAAACTTAGATATTTTACCTCTGGTTTTGTTCATACTGCCTTTTAAGATGAAGCTTTCACATACATATAAAACAATCAACAGAGTATATGCTTTATTAATAAGACACACTAGTTGTAATCACATGACAGTGTGTTTCCAATCTCATTCAACTTAGGTCAAGAAGGATATTGACATTGAAAAAGCAGTAATTATGCTAAAATGTAAAGGTATTAGTATTTCCAATATTTGATTGTTTTTTTCTTAATGGGGGCAGTCCTAAAAATCTCTTGCAAAGCTTTTTTCATAAGAGATTTTACCTGGACCCATGTACTCTTTGACTGACTTCCCAGCCAGCTGGAAAAGGTTCACTGACTATTAAGAAAATTGTTCTAAAACTTGAATGCTCCTAAGTATTTTTACTTGGCTTTTTTATGCTAAGCATTTTTACCTTGTGTAAAAAAAAAAAAAATATATATATATAATCAATTCTATGTGTCCAATAACAACTGTTTGCCTGAGTATCTCAACTGAGAGTGACAATAATGCATTGCCTGAGAGTCTTAAATTAAGGGTCCTTATATCTAATCTTACAGAAAATGCAGGAGAAAAACAATTTTGACACAAACAATGTGATGAGGCACAGTATAAACTCTTGAAAAGGAAGAGCCTTCCTTCTTCTTCAGAAAGCTACTTCAACAAAGAGAAGTACACAATGAATAGGAAATCCCTCCCTCAACCCTGCTGCTGGCAACTACTGACAAAACTGTCCATCGACACTCTGAGTATTGATGCTGTTTGCTACCTGTGCTACAGCCTGATTGCCTTGGGAGGAAATGATAAGAGGATGATGGTTCAGAGAGCTGTTCCCAGAATCAGTGCTTCTGTTTTCAGCTCAGGTAAAAAGCAGCTTGCAGGCCAAACTGTATCCTTGTCAGACAAGCCAGTGTGTTACTTAAAGATCCTCCACTGGAGAGAGAGATAAAGAGGGGAGTTTACAAACAAAATGAGTGGGGAAGGACAAAAGGAGTCCTTATTGATTTCTTCACTATCCAATACAACATGAAAACCAACATCTGGCTTTTGTTCAGTCTTAGCAGCAGCTGATCCCTGAGCAGTCAGTAAACTGGGAATTTTCTCATGGGCCAAGACTACATGACAGTATTTCTGCTTCCAACAGATGCTTCTTCTACAGAAGAAAGAGAAATAATTTTAGAGCCATTCAATATCAACGCCCCTTTGCGCTGCAACAAAGAAGTAATGCTTAAAGGGAAGCAGGTTTCCTTTGCAATTCATCTTCAAATAGCTTCGTATTAAAAGCAGAGGTAGAACCTGAGCTTATTTCAGTCATGGTGCATGAAAATACTTATCATAAAGATGACCGCTCTTTTACTGCCTAACTAGTCTTATCCTGAAAAAGTGTTTCCTTTTACAGGCAGGCTTGTGGGGTTTGGGGTATTTATTTTGGGGGGGCTTTTGTTGTTTTTTTTTTTAATAGAAGTAAAACCAGCTGTTAAACTTTCATCCTTGTTTTCACAAACACTACTGTCTACACATAAAGATACACCTGGTCATACCCTGGAAGTCAGGCACTTACCTAAGTAAGTATTAGCTTGACTAGAAACACTAGTTTTGTAGATGTTTGCAAAATAAAGGGTTTAAGACTTCCATTTAAAGATTGGAACACTAACTATAACCCCTTAAAAAGAACAACAATTTCAGGAATTGACACCTTCCTATCAGTGTCTGTTTTTTCCTCTAAGTAAATATCATTTTTATGTGCATATACACATACACAGGTAACATACAGCCATGAAGTTAAAGGCAAAAAGTAATTTAACAGCCAAAAATTGGAATCCTGGTAAAAATAATTAAGGCTTAAATGGTCCACTGGGATTTTCGTTCTACATATTGTCTGGGTATGAAAGGGAATAACATTACTGGATAAAGCCTCCAAGAGGTGTCACACACTGGTCTAAAAACCTGTTTCTTAATTGAATATATTCAATTTTCCACTCACATAGGTTTTAGTGATTTTGATGATTCAGCTTTTTGTCTGCCTTTAAAAAGAATATAGTTTAAAAAAAAAAAAGCCATCGCAAACAAGATAGACACGATGAGGCACACTGCTATCAAGAACAACTTAGCTCATTGCAGGTTTTGTACCATGATGTAAATTGTCATTTGGTTCATAGTACTCCATTTCTTTCAGCAACTAGTCAAATGCAACCAAAACCATACCTTAAGTTTCAAAGTGAGCAATTCACATTTTTACCTGGATTATTGTACTCAGAAAGCATTAATGTACTTCTGCTTCTGGCTAAAGATGACTGTGTGGGAGTCAGCAGTCGAGAAACAATAAAGTTTTCCATTGGACTAAGATGCATGCGATGAGCTGAAGGATGGGAGCAAATAAAATTTTAAATGCAAACAAATAAAACAATGTTACATTAAAACAACAAAAAATGATGAAATGATTAAATGAAATAAAAAGAAATCTTGAAGTGTTTGGGATTTAACATATTTAAAGGTAACTTTCATTCCCTCTGGAAAAAAAAAAATAACAACCAACAAACAATATTTCTAGTTTCTCCATCACTTTAAATTATTTTCCCACCTGTGCAATAAACACAGTAACGTTAAGACCGTGTTGCATTTTGTTCTTACACAGACAGAGGTTCCAATCTGCAAGATGGTTGCTTTCATGACTCAGCATGAAAAAGGTTTCTCTTCTTCCCCAATAGAAAAGGTGAAACATTTGGTGTAACAGCACAGCTACTCCCTAATGTGCCAACTACTCTGGAACTGCACTTAAAATCTGCAGTCTCACCGAATTATGTAAGTCTTATTTATACAATAGGCTTGCATTCCTTACTACTCCATAAATGTGTCAACCATATAAGACATATTTATAGATGTTCCTATTACATGCATATGTATATAGCCATCTATCATTATAAACTCAGAGCTGTTGATGAGTTTTCATTAAGCAACTCAGAAATGAAAGTACACTTTCTTTTCATTTTAGAAACAAGCCTCTACTGGCACTTACACTTCACCCAATACACGTTTTTTTCCTCAGTTTTTTTTTTTGGTTGTTGGTTTTTGGTTGTGTTTCTTTTTTAAAAAAAAAAAAAAAGATGAGGAAGGAAGTGAGGTTAAAAACAAACAAAAAAAATCAACAAAAAAAAAACAACAACAAAAACCCCGCAAAACAAATGAAAAAAATAAAAAATCCAGAGTTCACAGTGAGGTAAACCCTTCAGTCTCTCTCTAGTATTTAGTAAGCACTAATCCCGCAAGATGATCATCTTTTGTGGAACCTCTCATGGATCAGATTTTCCAATCACATTAAAGGCCTCTACAAGTCTGGTCATCAGATTGAAGTCTCCCAGGTGGCTCACTGGACATACTTCTGCCCATGGTACATTCCCTGTCTATTGCTGAGCCACATTCTTGGTTTGCTTGGTTTCCCCTGTTTGGATAAAAGATCACAGTTATAGGGAACTGCTGCAGTCACAGCATGTGCTTACAACCCTGTTTGCTGGAATATCAAAAACTGAAAAAGAATCAGTTAAAAAGCCTACAGCATTTGTTGCTGGACCAGGACCTCCAGCATGGCAGCACAGCCTTGGGACAGGCTGCAGAACTATTTTATTGTATTAACTTATAACACCTCAAATATTCAGACATAACCAAGTTACACAGCTATATGGACAGTAAGAAGAAGTGCTTTAAGCAGAAGGAGAGTTTATGCTGGTAGGAGACCAGCATATTCACTTGCCTCTGTCGGGGGAATGTGTTATGGCCGCTGTGGAGGAGGAGAGGCGCTTACTGATTGGCGATTCCATTTGCTTTGGCAGATTCATTGTAGAAGCTGAAAGTTTGTCACATGCTGCAGAGAGACGCATTGAAGATATTTGTATTCACATCACAGTATTGATAAATGCTCCAAATTAACCTCGCATTTGTACTTGTGGCCCTTTGCCCGATCACAGAACTGAATGAAGTATGAGATAAGCTCTTTCTGACTGCTGGAGGATCAGCATTTTATAAAATGTAGGTTGGGATGCAACTTTTCTGCTTGTGAATTTCACATTCCAGTTTTACAACAGCTCATCTTTTATACTACCACAAGCAAATAACTATGTACTGGAGCCAAACGAGTGAAGCCATTCTGATACAAGATATTAAATACCAGCACAAGCAGAAAGTTACTTAAAGAAAATAAACTGCACACATGACAACTCTGAACTCCTTGTCTCCATTCCCTTCCCCCTCTACTTCAGTCTAGAAGAGCAGGGGTGGACCTCAGGTATTACTCTAATGCAAAAATGAGATAACCAACGTTTGTGTATTTGCACAGTTAGAACTCACTGTTTTAATGACCAATGTGGCACCAGCCATTTGGCTTTATCTTTTAGTGCTGGTATTACCCCAAGGGCTTTAACTGTTTGACAAAGTCTCAGCACAATACGTATTTCCTACCTTAGCATTCGACTGCTAATGTTCGACTGAACAACAGACAAATGTAATTCAAGTATTACTACAGTGTACTAGTATTTGATGATCACTGAATGATACTCAGAAGCTAAAAGCATAGATGCTGTGTCCCTTAAATTTGAATCTTACTTGTTTCAAAAACAAAAATATTTTCAGCTAGACACATATACGTGGCCCTAATTCTGCAGTGCCTAAGTTACTGCGTTGCCTATTACATCCATCAAAACGTTGGCTCAGTGGGGTCTGCAAGGTTTGCCTTCACCTCGTACAGCAAACAATTCAATTCTCTAATAATTGCTCTTTCAAAAAAAGGTGGTATAATGCTTGTGTACTGCAAAACATCAGTTGCACATCCAAGTCTCTTTTTGCATGAGCACAATTAGTATAAAAATTTGAATCTGTTTGCACAGATATAACAGTTCTGAGAGATCATGAGCAGAACATTTACTGTGTATTCTGCAAGAGTAATAGCCAAGCCTCACTCCTCCTTTGGGGGGAGAGATGGAACCTAGATCTTAAAAGCACAGCTAAATACATTTGCAATCAAAATCAGAAATCCTATGTGCAAGCCATTCTTCACCTTGGAGGACTCATCTACCTCAAAGTCTTTTTCTGGGAAATAAAAAAAACCACCGCAAAACAAAACAAAAAAAACCCCACAACCAAACTAAACCAAACAACTGAACAATATAAAAGAGGAAAACCCATAACGATTGCTTGAACAAAGTCAATTACTTGAATCTGTTACAAATACCACCTTGGTCAAAATCTGCTTCAAGGAGACTGAAAACATGGCTGTTTAAATCAAACTTGCTTGTTCTTAACATACTGCAGAAAAAAAGCCCTTGAGGTGGAAAAGGAAGACTGTTGTGATGAAACATGGTTTGGGTAACACATTTTCTCTTACTGTGCAACTGAATTTCTTTTCAATAGCAGCTGAACCTGTGCATGTCCATTAGAACTGTCAAATAGATGTGTAATTATATTTACACACACACATACACACACAGAGCACCCACAGAGTTAACAGGAATGAAAAATCTGAGCAGTAGAAGTTTACAGATAGTGAGAAAACCATGAAATGCCTCTACAGTGCTGGAATGTGAGGCATGCACTGCTCCACCATGGCAAAATTAAAAGGAAATTAAAAAGACTACAACAGTAAGGGTAATGCCATAGAGTAGCAGACTGAAATAATAATAACACAGTGGTTAGGAAGGACAAGATCAGTGGATGGATTACAGTGACTAGAACAGTTATAAACAAGACACGATGGTATTGAGATTCTCTGAAATACCATTGAGGGAATCAGCAGGAGCAGTAGAGGTCACAGGGTCTGGAGGAAGGGTGTTGGCAGCTAAACCTAGAACAGGGGGTGGGGTATTTTCTGATTCACCTACACAGCAGAGAAATCAGAGCAAAAAGAGGTGAAAGAAATTATTGAATAAATTGGGGGAGCTGGAATTCAGCATAAACTGCATCACAAAGACAAACCGGTTTCCTTCTCAAAGTATAAAAGACTTGTTTTATTACCATATATAATTTCCTGGCTTTTTTGATGGCATACTGTGAAAACTATGATGGGAAATTGAGTATGCCATTTAAGTATATTTACACACCATTTAAATATGTCATATTTCATCACTATCTAAACATGTAACTTTTTCCTCCTATAACATCAGTTTATTCAAACCTGACAAATTTAAATAAACTATATGATTTCAACAAAAAAAGGCATCTTTTTGTAATATAAAAGCAGTACATGACTGATTATGTAGCAAAAAGAATTTGTTTGGAAGCCAAATCAAGAAGAGCAGCAACAAAAAGTATGTGGGGGGAAAAACACTAAACTATTTTAAACTGCACATGCTGCACAGTCATCTAGAATTTCCTGCCAGGCTTTTAGAAGTACAAAACAAAAAGAAGATCATCTTTTGCAAGGCTCAGTCAACACTCTTGTGAATATTATATTTGCTAACCGGGTACATGGGAAGACAATGCAGGAGAAGAGAAAATATGGAAGAGTGCATAAATTTTAATTGTAGCATTTAGCATTCTCCAAACAGATTCTAGTTACTCTATCAAAACGAGCAGCATTCCTAAAGTTAGGAGTTACCCTTTTCCCCAGAAAGTATTAGGGAGAGGAAACATTTACAAGCAATTACAAAGCATTTATTCACACCCCAGGGCAGTAGCCCCTACAATACCACCCTAACTATAAAATGAATCATCCTTACTATCTCCACAACCTCATGCATTTTGCACTTCAAGATCTGCAATGCAGGCAGCCTGTTTCACTTACCATCTCTCCCTCCTGAGCCTGCAGCTAGTGCTCCTCCCCACGACCATCGCTTCTGCTTCTGTTCCAGTTGCTGGCTGCGTTCAAGGGATCGACGCATCATGGCTTCTAAACGTTCCTGGTTATATTGGTGCAAAATCAGAAACCAAATCTGAATCAGTTCTTTGGGGGCTTTTTTTTTTTCCTCCGCCTGAAACCATACTAAAAATACGCAGTTCCCCTGTTGCTCCACACATGCTGATTACAGAAACTTGCTTGCAACATAAGAAAAAGGGCTTGATAAAGAAGGTACCAGCATGCTACCTACCTCCAGATATGTGTATCCTTTGTCTGCAAGCCACTGAGGTCACTACAGAGGCCTAAGTAAATAACACAGGTTGCATCACTGCCTAGCATCTGCTCCTGCTGGTGAGGCTGCTGCTGTGCTCCGGACTTAATTTGTATAAGAATAATGCTCGACAAGCATTAACTCCTTCTTGTCTATGCAGACCTCAGGAATTTTTCCCCATCCCTTCCTGAGCACAGCTAAATTGCTGCAATGCCAGTGGCTCCTCCTAGCCACACAGATAGATGATCACTTCAAACCCAAAGTAGGTTACTTTGCAAGGATGCCTAATTTATTTATTTATTTTTACGAAAAGTCTCCTTTCTTCCGCTACATTCTTCACAGTCAAGGCATGCAAGAGCTTCTGATTTATTTTATTCTCCCCTAGTGTATTTATTCGTACACACCCAGATTGTGTTGTTCCAAAATTTACTTTTTCCTGCTCTACAACCATGTTCTTCTCCATGGCTTGATGAGGTAGGATTTTCAGATGGGGAAGAAGACAATTTCTTTCCTTCCCCAAATCCTGCTTTTAACTACCTTTAACTTAGAGCTACACAGTCGTCTTACTCCCTTCTGCACTACCTCCCAATTCTCACTCAAAGACCTCCATGCAAGTTTTGTTCCTGCTTCCTTCTGCTAGTTTCTCAGTGTTTTGTTTTTTTTTTGCTGTGGTGCTGATCTCTGCACCTTCTCCTTCTTTCAAGCTGGTAAAAAGTGGTTCTCCCCTACCACCGTTCCATTACTTACCAGCCTATTCCTTTCCTTCTCTCAGCACCTCATTCACATCTAGCAACCTCTTCACCTTCACATTTTAGCAGCCCTACCCCTACCATTAAAGGTGAGTCTATTCTTGCTGCCACCAACTCCTGCCCCAATGGTTTTTAACCCTTCAATCCTATTAGTATTTTTGATCCTATTACTTACTACCTTTGCTACGTCCTTCTGGTCTAGTATAAAACTCCTATCAGACTGTTGATCCTGCAGGCTTCTGTGACTACATCATATACACTTCAATTTTCATCAATCCCCTGCTCTGTGTCCAATATCTTTTGGTAGGTCAGATCAACTGTGTGGAAAACCTCTCCTGCATCTCCTGCCAGATTACTTTCTCTCACCAATTCATGACTTCGGTCTAGGTTTACTAATCTGCTTCCCTGAAATGTTTTACCTCAAAATTTCAGTCTTTGATCAAGCATGTCTCATTAAGTCTCTGTACTGATGTTGAACCTGTTATCTCTGATGGAGCAACTTCCACAGATCAGACCCTAACATCAGGCACCCCCAGTAATTACCACGGCTGGAACTTCTATGCATGTACCTGTAAACTTCCTGGGGCTCTGGCTATGGTCAACGGCTTTCTACAGCAGCAGATGCCCTCTCATCATCTTCTGCTTATCTGCAATGTATTTCTGTCTCTTCAACATCTTTGAAGAACCTCTTCTACTTCCATGATTTCCAGTGATTTGTTTCTGGCTTCATTTTTTCTACCTCATCCAATCCTACTATCAGTTATCCATCCATTTCAACAGCAAGCCGTTACCTTTTGTCTTGAAGCTCTCTTATCTTAATTTTACTATAAATAACTTGTACCACAAAGAATTCCATTATACTACCCTCTATAGAAACCATGAAAAAAGGCAATTCTTGCATACCCTTTCTATCATTCTCAGCTCTCCTGTCCCTGTTAGCTTTGAGCCAGGTGACCCAACCTGCTCTTACAATTTCTGCTGTCATCTCCAGAAACAAAACCTTTAGATCAATGTGTTGTGAACTCTCACTTTAGTTTTGTCTCCTTTCTAGGTCTTTAGCTCACATTCTACCAGGTAACATCATTCAAAGACCACTTGAAAGCAGACAGCTGCTTGCCCACCCTCACTCCCCCTTTTCCCCCACCTCCTTCTGTTTGGTCAGTGCCATCAGTATCCAGGCACACAAATGCGCACTCTGCTTCCTTCATCCTCCTTTTTCTCCTACAGAGCAAATGCATGAAGGAGCACAAAGCACACGCACAGCCTCTTCTGCAAAAGCACAGAAAACCCCCACGGTTTTGAACACTCTATCACTTCTGTCCATGCCTTGGGTATGACAAGAAAGCAATCTTTCAGTCTCTGAATCTGAAGTCACTCCCCTCTGATACAGTTTGCTGCAGTCTGTCTTCTTTTACTACTTGAGGATGCAATTTTCACATTTAAAACCTGCATACGCTTTTTGCTTTTAAATTCCCACCTCCCAACATTAATGTAATTCTGATTGAGTCCCTTTTCTGTACCCAACTCTTTCCAAACCTCAACTGTTTCATCACCAGTTTTTCTCTGCAGACTGCTTCATCACTTTCTTCTGCTATGCATCTTGCCCAAGTATACCTTTCTACCCACACTCTTTTCAAAGGAAAAATCACCCTCCCATTTCTCTTATTAAAGTGCACACTTATATTGAATCTTTCTTTCCATATCTATATGAATATCATTATACATTAATCAAAAAAGACAAGATGAAAGCAGTCAAGTTTCAACCATCCAGGCGAGTTACATTTATGGGTTTTTTTTTTAATGCTGCTTGCAGCAAGGACCAGCAATATTATGTAGTTTGCAAACCACAGAATACACTTACACCACCTACTATGAAAGAGCTGTTTTAAGAATAAAATGCACGATGAAATAGGTTAAGGAAATTAAACTGTTTTTCATACAAATTTGAAAGCCTATGCTACCTACAATCTGAGGCTGAAATCTTCAATTACATGATGTGGAAAGGATCATTCATTTTCATTTGCAAAGAGCCTTTCATTAAAGCACTATAGGACATAATTATTAAACACCATTAAACCCTGCAGATATGGCTGAGATAAAGAACAATATAAAGGCCATCTTTCACAAAGAAAGGATAGGTATTTAAAAAACATTTTAAGTTAGCACAAAACTAAAAAGCCAAAGAAAACAATAAGACACATAGAAGCACAGCATAAACAACTCATACATGAATAATTAGGTCCATGATGAAAATTGAACAAGACAAAGGATTCCTTCATCAGCAAACCCTTCCTGTCTGTGTTATAAACTAAGTACTTTCTTAGAAGCGTAACAAACTATGCATGTGATCCTCATTTGGGAACTTTGACAGCTATAGACAGAACAAATAATCTCTACACTAAATAGGAAGCTTCTGCAAAAACCTTTGCACGTAGGTTAAATTAAGAATTAGTTAAACCATAAAGAGAGAGCCACCTACTGCTAGTATCTAAAATATACATGTTACTTTCCAAAATCCATAGTTATTCATCCAGGTTTTCCTCAGACTAAGCAACAGAACACAAACTTGCACTGTCTGAATTAAAACAAAAGAAACAACAACCAACCACCCCCCAACCAACGCAAAACCCAAGAGTGAAGATACCAGTAATTTGACTGATGTACTTTCTTTTTTTCTGTGTAAAATACAATGCAGGTGTGAAAACAAGTGAAAAATTAATTTTACAAGTACTACGGCTTAAAATAATTTGTGCAAATAATTATAAACCCATCTACCTTATACCTTAAATACAAACATCCTTTCCTCTTCACTGTAGATATTGATAATCACTGTATGCAAGTAGCTCACTGTTAGCTAATATTATCCATTGGCTCTTTCACATAGGAACAAAAGAGTTCTGCTATGTTCTATTTAAATAACACATTGAAAAGCAATATAGAATTTTAAATTTATCTACCCTTCCGAATAGAATTTCTGCTCTCAACCAATTACAATTACAGGTGTGTACTAAGCATGTGTGCAAATAACAACATAGAACAATGAATATACCATACATAAAGGTATGTGGGAAGCTGCAGCAGCAAGTAACAGTGGGAGGAGCAGAGGACCATCAGTGTCGTAATGAGGACTAAACTCTTCTCCTGACATCCACTGCACATTAAATTGAGAGACCTCTTGCACAGAAATCTCAGTCTGTAGCAAAATTTCTGTGCAACTGAATGCCACTCAGTATAAGAGTTGCCAAAATAGGTTTGGAAAGCAATTACTAGTTCCATATATTATAACTCAAAGTTAATTACCTTTTGAAACATAGCAAGTAATTTATGCTATAACCTCTTGGGAGTTTTTAACTCTCTTGTGTTTAAGTGCATACTCTTTACAAACGCAACAAATAGTGCATGTGCAACAAAACAATCTTTCCAGTAAGCAAGTTTACTGGCCAGGGTACCACCACTCCCCCTTTTCCTCACCACTCCCCTACCCCCTTCTTCATGTGTGGGAAATACAGGTTTGAAGCTCTTCCAGTAAAGGTCTCAAATGTCCAGAATGACTCATGAGCAGTGAGTAACTTGCAACGCTCAGGGAACTGCAACCTCATCACCATCCTTTCTCAGAACTCCACTGCTACTACGCATACAAGGTTTGAGGGGCTCATCGGAAGACCTGAGGGTGAGAGGAGGGGTGAATGGGGAGGACTTGACAGACCCATTAGTAGAACCCAAGTGGAATTTGAGAAATGAGGAAATGACAAGTAATCACAAAAAGAAGAAGGGAAGCCAGGAAGTGGTGATGTCTCCTGTTCCCAGTTTCCTTCTTCCCTCATCTTCCCCTGTTCTACAGATTATTCCCCTTTGTACCCTCCCCTCCTTCAGAGACTCCTGGATTTTATTTCACAACAGGTCTAATCCATCCCCAAACACTCTTCTCCTGCTCACATAACCTTCTCTCAGGTTCTTAGGGGGAAGGAGAAGGAGGAAATGGAAGGGAAAGGAGCCAGGGCAGGGCTGCCTTGGTTCCCAACTTAAACTGTTTTGTACAGTTTAAGCTTGAAGGACCAGCTCAGTAAGTAGAGCTAGGAGCCGTGCTCATATTACGACCAAACACTTGGAGGCAGCACTTCTCTCACTATATAGAGAAGTCTCCCATCACATATACAGAGTTTTGGGGAGCTACAACAGGTTTGCTGATGCCCGGGAGAAACATCACCGTGTGCTCAGCCCCTTATATCCATCTCTGGTCAAGTGCAGGAGGCTACTACAGGAGGTGGGGTCCCCACTGAACAAACTCTTTGGGCCTAACGTGGCACAGCCTCTCATGTCTGACAACCCTGCTCTTATTTCTCCAGCGCAGGCAAACCATGTAGGCAGGGAAAGCATGCAGTTACTCAGTCTTCCTACACCTCTCCCTCTCCCTGTCTGCCCTGACGCAAATTTTGAAGACTGTTTTTGTACTTGCCATTTCCCTTACAACCCCAATAAAGGGGATTGCTCTTGCCTAGCTGCAAAAGGTTATGACAGCAGAATACATTAGTGAAGGAGCACAATAGGTCATTGACATTACCACAAAAGGAAACACCTACCCTTTGTTTCTGATTTTGCCATTTTTCTGACCAAAATTTGAAACAAACCATACGACAAAACATTTAAAAAATGCATTCTTGGCTATTATGCAGAACCCACAACCAGTATGTTATAGTTGAAAGACAAACGACAAGATACAATCTCATCAGGTTAAAGTGAAAAATCAATTAAAAAAAAGTTCAATGGAGAGAAGTATGTTATTTTGATCTCTTGCAGAAGAGTTTTTTATCTTTTGCAAAGATATTCTGGTCAAAAGATGGAGGGGCACACATAAAGGAAAAGCAAGAACTGCAAATTTCTAGAGGCCTTTTTATCTAGAAACTAGAGAAATATCTTCTTTTGGCTATTCTCTTTACACCACTGCCCTCTTTCCCAAGAAACATTAATTCTTTATCAGTGCTAGCATTTTCTACAGAAAGTCATGTGGAGAGACACACACTGTATTCAGAGATCTGCATCAGAAATTGGACTCACTGGAGCAAAAAAGAACCTTAAATGATCTCAGCAGGGAGAGTAGAAGAAGGGAACAAAGATGCTTTAAAAGATATATGCGTAATTCTGTTCTGTGCTAGATTTTTAAGCCTAAATTCTTCACTGCTTGCAGTAAGAATTTCTGATTTTAAGTCACTGAGGAAAAACAAAACCACACATTTTCATAAACATTATTTCAGTTTCAGGGACAGTAAACAAAACACTAAGAAAAATCTTTCCCTTTTATGGAAACACTCATCTTTAAAACGTATCTTCTGGATAGCTGGTGCTTTATCATCTGACACTTAAAGTCCCAGATACGTTAGCATAAATACATTGACTATTGTGTAAGATCAGACAAAAACAAGAGACAAAAAAAACCCCTCTGTAAAGTGTTGTGATGTACAAGCAGCAGTAAAGTACTTCTAGCTGTGGTGGCATGTGTCTGAGGTTCCCAAAGTAATGTCCACATGCCTCTGGGCCAATAAATAAATGAAAATCAACATTTAATGCATGTCAATATTCAGCCATGTCTAGCGCTACCATATAGACTTCCCTGCTATACATCTCCCAATGATCCTTACCTCCTCCTCTTTAAGCTTTTGTCTCCTTTTTTCTTCAACAGCTGCTCTCTTCTGCTCCTCCCTCTGCCTCTGCTCCTCCAATCTTTTCCATCGCTCCTCCATTTGCTTTTCATATTGAAGTTTGGCTCTTCTCTCCTTCTCCAGTATCTGCTGTTCCCTAGCAGCTTAGGCAGAGCAAAAGGTACATTTCACTTTATGCAAATTTTCTCCTGCTTTAAAATTACGACTTTACATAACACTGTAAACAGCAAATGCAAGTACACGTAGTTTTAGTCCACTAAGGTAAAAAACAAAGTGCACAGAAGTGCTGGAATGATTAGTAAATCTAAGTGATTTGCTCAGTAAATGAACAGGGAAGCCTTTGGTCCACAAGGTGAGTTTGTGCCCCTTACCTATATAAAAACAGTGTACAGAATAATTAACAACTAGGTTTTGGTTATGTTTCAAATCCCTCTGTAGCTTAAAGCCAAATTCTTTTTTCAAACATAACACATGCTGCCAGTAGGTTTTAAAGCGAATCAGTTAAACATGTTGAAACAAAAGCCCTTGGACTTTCTTTAAAACTGTGCTTCCCTTTATGGGGCTGCCTTCAAAATAAACACACGAAAACAACTATGTTAAATTTTCTATAAAGCTTTGAAAATGCACCATTCTGTCTCTGTCTGTAATTTGGTGCTACATAGTTATTCACTTCTGTCTGTTTGCAGGAAAAAATTACTTCTGTTATTGAGGGTTTGCCCAGTTTATTCCAACTAGTGGAGTCATGATCTTCTTGAGACATTAGCTTGTTACAGAAATTCAGACCGTAACATTACATACAGGACTGTTGCTCCAGTTTTGCACAGGAAAAGTAGTAGTAGAAGTTAATGTGGCAAATCAAGAGTAAAAAAATCCACTTCTTATGCAAGTGTATTCCATTAAAAGGCAAAGAGGAGTTCAGTAAGCATGCCTAAAAACACAAAAGCCTGTAATGTCACACGTACAGCCAGAATTAAAAGTGGAATATTCTTACTGTTGCCAGGCTAAGAACTTGGGCACGTTTTTAGGAAGGGAAAGCCAGAATTGACAGTGTTTATACAAGAGCTAGTCCTTCATCCTGCACACCTATTCAGTCTCAGTTTGCCTCTTCAGTTTGTTTCCCTGTACAGAAAATTTTCTTCCTTCTACTTCTCTCAGGATCTTTCCATCATAGAATCATAGGATGGTTACGGTTAGAAAGGACCTTAAGATCATCAAGTTCCAACCCCCATGCCATGGGCAGGGACACCTCGCTCTAAATCATATCATCCAAGGCCTCATCCAACCTGGCCTTGAACACCGCCAGGGATGGAGCATTCACAACCTCCCTGGGCAACCCATTCCAGTGCCTCACCACCCTAACAGGAAAGAATTTCCTCCTTATATCCAATCTAAACTTCCCCTGTTTCAGTTTTAACCCATTACCCTATGTCCTATCACTACAGTCCCTAATGAAGAGTCTCTCCCCAGCATCCCTATAGGCCCCCTTCAGATACTGGAAGGCTCCTATGAGGTCTCCATGCAGCCTTCTCTTCTCCAGGCTGAACAGCCCCAACTTTCTCAGCCGATCTTCATATGGGAGGTGCTCCAGTCCCTGATCATCTTCATGGCCCTCCTCTGGACTTGTTCCAACAGTTCCATGTCCTTTTTATGTTGAGGAAACCAGAACTGCACACAATACTCCAGCTGAGGTCTCACAAGAGCAGAATAAAGGGGCAGGACCACCTCCCTTGACCTGCTGGTCACGCTCCTTTTGATGCAGCCCAGGATACGGTTGGCTTTCTGGGCTGCAAGCGCACACTGAAGCTGGCTCGTGTTCATTTCCTCATCGACTAGCACCACCAAGTCCTTCTCCGCCGGGCTGCTCTGAATCTCTTCTCTGCCCAACCTGTAGCTGTGCCTGGGATTGCTCCGACCCAGGTGTAGGACCTTGCACTTGGCATGGTTAAACTTCATGAGGTTGGCATCAGCCCACCTCACAAGCGTGTCAAGGTCCCTCTGGATGGCATTCCTTCCCTCCAGCGTATCAACCGAACCACACAGCTTGGTGTCATCGGCAAACTTGCTGAGGGCAAGAGCCGTCCTAGGCTCTTGCCCAGCCATCTGAATTCCCTATAGTTACATCAGCCTTTTTTCACTTAGCTCCTGCCCCTGGGCTCTTTAACCACAGCTGTGACCTTCAGTCACTCTTAGCCCCACTCCACCCTCAAAATCCTTGGTTTAAAGCTAGAGTGCCTCCAACACCAGATCCTTCTCCAAAAGTTGCTGGATCCTCCTAAAATACATCTTCCCTGCATCCAACCTGCTTTATAGAACACCTTCTACTTTTTTATTGTTAGAAATACAGTTGTTTATACTGTCTTTCCCTTTTGTCTTGTAAGAATTCCCTATTCCCCCCTTCCCCAGGATAGGGCAGCATGAGAGGGGTGTCAGGGCTGCAGGCATGCCTAGACTTGTAGGTATGAAGAATCACATTTGTTAACAGATAAAGAGTTACATCAGAGATGGTGGAAGACAAGTGACCAGTCACTAAGTGTGACACAGGCCACATCAGGTAGAGCAGGTGAAAACAGCAGGCTGGAGTTGATAAAACCCAAAAATAAAGCGAGGTGTCCAGAGATTTGTGCTAAGATTACCTTCTAAGTAAGTAGGTGAAACCTGGAAGTGATTCTGGACAGAGAAGGAAACCATTCTGTCATCATGGACATACATACAACTCTTGTTCTTTAATGTAGGGATACTAAATCCCTGAGTAATGAATTTTGTCTCTGGTGAAAAGGTTATTCTATATTGCTGCAAAGTACCTGCTGGCTGCATAAAGATCTGTTCTGCTTTTTTTTTCTGAACTTCTAAAAGAAAGGTGCCACAGACAAACTGTGCCCAAATTCCAGAGCTTCTAGAAACGGTTGCAACTCTAAAATTTCCAGAAGGTACATATGATGTCTGTAGAGAGGAAGGGCAGCCAATACGTTCCAAATCCCCTGAGCCAACCGCTCCCAGATTCTCCAGCTTTCAGTTTCCCCTCTCATTTTTTCTTCTGTTTTTTAATTCAAATCCTTTTCAATCTACTCATCATGTCATTTTCTTGGGAACCAGCAAAGAAGGGTTAATCGAGAGTACAGAAGAAAGAGTCCGCACTGAGTATGTGTGGAAGAGAGGTAAGCTACAACTCAGGCTGGTGCATGTCCCACGTAGACAGAACTTCTGGAGAGATGAAGTACTAAACACCAGCAGTTTTTCACATCAATTACTAAAATGAATCTTGCTTACCAAGCCCACAGGTACTAAAAAATGTCTTGTCACTGGTCTCAAGCCTCATGTTTTGTCAAGAAACAGTCAACAGTGTGTTTGGTTATTTACTGCAAGAAACCCAGTATTTTGCTATGATTCCTTCCACAGGTGTCCGTGCTGGCTTTTAGTTGGCATTTCCTCCAAATATATGCCTAGCTTGAATTTTACAAAATCATAAAACACTGACAGTTCCTTCTGAAATGTATTGTCAGGTGACATCCAGGACGGTGCTACTGGCCTTTCTTGTTATTACCATGAGCAAAGTGAAGGTAGCTGTTCAACATTTTTAACATATGTATATATGAAAAGTCCAAAACAACGCTGAACAGTTAAGTTAATTCATGTATATATGAAATTAACTGTGTACACTCACAATCTCCCTTTATATGTATATATATCTATATTTAAAAAAATATTTTTTATATATATATATATACACATATATATTGCAATTTCCTCAACATTTCCCTGGAGGTATTAGTATATTAAAAAAAAAAAAAAAAAAAAAAGACTTATTTTAAAACCTCTGAAATCAATGCTTATGTTATACAGAAAGTTAATTCATATTTTTTAGTTTTCTTTAAATATTAACCATTTAAAAACCTACAGAAAATTACCTGTTTTATACTATACTGAACAACTCCATGGTCTTTTATCATGGCTAAAACCTAATAGATAGTTTCACCAAATCGTTCTACATATCATCCTGAGTTATTCACGGCTTATTTAGTGTTTTTACATATCAGAATCCTAACAATCAATATCTTGCATGTAATTTAAAAGTAGTAATGTAAGTGATAAAGACTAGCAAAAGAATAAAAAACAATGCTTAAAATTCAGAACAGAAAAAATGTCATGTTAGTAAATTAAGCCTATTAATACAGATGCATAAATAATACATACACCTCCTGCCATCTTACCGAGGTATTTCTCCCTTTCTTCTCTTCTCTCCTTTGCCAGTCTCTGTCTTTCATCAGTTTTCAGAAATCCATCAAAGGCTGAAGTCAGAAAGAAGGAAAATAAAAAAAAAAAAAGGTATTAAAAAAGTGTTAGTAAAACTAAAGAAGCATCCAAAAGAACTTAAAAAAGTCCACCAAAAATAAGTTGTATCTTCGGCATTTAACAACTCCAACAACAAAAACTATTTTGCACTTAACAAGCTGGGATTTAGATACATATTGAGCACAGTCTCCTTCCTTCCTGCCTACCTACTGATGAACTCCAAGCGCAGTTCCTCAGTATAAATGCCTGACTCCTCTTCTCAGAGCACACAACCATGCTGTCAGTGCTTTTATAAAACTTTCTTTGGAAAAAAATGTTAGGATGCAATTAACATGTATTAATCTTTGTTAATAACCTCATTAAAAAGTTTTTTACTAAAAAAGGGAAAAAGTTCAGGAAAGCAGTAAAAGCGGTACGTAGCTCTCATGGTCTAATGCTATGTGGAGTCACAGTCTTCATATTTATGGCTTAACACAGCTCTATAGCTTCCTTGCCCACAGGAAACCACCAGCTCATTTCAACAGCCAACAATTAGAACTGAATGAAGCTAGGGAGACAGCAGCCCTCCTGCCCTCTTTTCCAGGTAGAAACATTTTGTTTCCTTGTCAAGTTTGCATCTAAAAGCAGGTTGCTTGTTTGGGAGGAGGTTGCCTAAGGATGTTTTGTACCTGGATCCAGACACCCCAGTTCATGAGCCACCAGAAAGCCCAATTTAAGAAAGGGGTGGGCAGGCAGGCAGAGTGTGACACGCGAGATGCCTCAGGGTCACCTGCCTGCATGCCCTGTAATAAGCAGCCACATGGACCATAGGTGGACCTTCTGCAATACCCATGTGAGCTCACCAGTCACCAGCTAGTGACTTGACAGACCAGCTAGAGGATAGTATACTTTTAAAACAGCTGGCAGGGCCTCCAGTGCCCTCCTTTCTCTATTTATTTTCAGGATCTCCTGCGGTCTTCGCAGGGTTGCAGTGCAAACAGGCAGGGCATCTCACAGCACAGTTCACATCCTTTGCAATCACTACTTGAGCTCCCTACTGAGTTGGTGAATTACAATTAAGTCCCCTTCTCTTCTGCTCTAAGAACTTCAGTTGTTAATTTTATCAGACAAATAGGATGTTGAAAAGTTACTTAGACTGTAAACGACGCTGTCTTCCTGAAAAGTCACACTTGCAGGCTCCTCTCCAAGGGCATCCTGTCTATTGGAGTTAAGGTTTTGCATGACAAGCAGCTTTCTGTAAAAACACATGGTTCTGTAGGAAGGCTAAAAACCACCCTTGATGTTCTCTTTCGACTGGTGAAAAAAGCAGGTCTCAGCTGTCCCCCATTAGAATAACAGCTTGCTTTTTCCCCAAGCAGCACCTTCGAACACCATTTCTAATCCACCTCTGCACACACAAATGGCAGCTACCTGATGGCAGTCAGGCCTCTGGAAAATTGCAATTGTAGCTCCCAGCTGGTTAATTACAACTAGAATTTGTGGGTCAAATACATACCTATTTAATACTGAGGACTCATCCTACTTCCATCCTAGTCCACTGGTTTGTTTGCTTGGCTTCCATTTATTGTCAGACTTGACAAGCCGGGAGGAGAGAAGAGGAGGTGGCTCAGTAAAGCAACCTTGGTGACTAGGTTTGCAACTACTTTTAAGGGGCCTGCTTTAAGTAGCCAAGAAGGGGAATCCTGTTGTCAGCATTGTTACATTACAGCTCCAATTGAAAGGTTTTTAGTGATTTGAAAGTCAAACCAGCATGAAACCTACAATTTAGCCACAGAGGAGGTGAAATCAAGACGGAAGCTCAAAAAGAAAAGATAGCTTGGGAGTAACTGAAGCCTGGAAAAAGGCTAACAGTTTATATACTGGGCATGACATGCTGGAATACCCCTTTGGCTAGTTCCGGTCGGGTGTCCTGTCTGCTCCCTCCTGGCTTCTTGTGCCCCTCCTCACTGGCAGTGCATGTGTCCTTGATCAGGGTAAGTGCTACTTAGCAAGCAGACAGAAGCTAAGGCTTTGTGAGGCAAGGGACATAACTCAGGTGGAGAGGTGGAACCTGAATCATGGAAACCAAGGTGGGGATAGGAACAGCAAGACAGTCCACATCTATGGATTGTGTTCACAAAAATCCTGCACTGACTCTCATCCCTCTCTTCCTTTCAGCAACTATCTATGAAACCCACTACCAAAAAACATATCCCATCATGCCTGTGAATAAAATTACAGCAAACTTATCTCTACTTTGATTGCTTAGTAAACACAACTGGCAGACAAGGATCTAAAAGCTCAAGCCTTGCTCACAACTGCCATAGCCAACCTGAAAAATGGCACATCAGCTCTGGGTAGCATTCTCAAGAGTTCAGATGTCTCAACACCACTCTGGCAATATTAAAAAAAGATCAAGGCTGTAATGCCAGATACTTAAGAAATCAGGATGCATCAAAATCAGCATTGAAGCAGTCTGTACAATCGTTATTTTGCTCCTTTAGCAGATGTATTAAGCATTTTTTCCTTTTAGGTCTTTTCACCTATTCAGTGAACCTCCTTAAAAGGTGAACCCCAGCTTCAAAGTGATTAGTGCTTGTTGCTTCATTTCTTTCTGAAACTGAAAGGTAGACAGAACTATAATCTGAAGTCAGCCTTGGAGAAGACACTCCAGACTTGGCTATGTCACAGCTGAAACAACAAATGATGGAATTGTTGCTCCTTACATGTGCAATGCACTAATGTGCAAAAAACTGTGTGGAGGAAAACAGTATGCAATATAGTACATATAAGCATCAAATGCATATACATGCAGCAAGGGGAGCATTAAAATAGCACATACGTCCTCAATTCTAGCATTTCTTAACTTGACTTCACAAATCAGCACACCTGCCAAAAATCAGTGAATATAGCTTTGAAGGACAAATAACTATTCCCTGGGTAACAACTTATACCTTGGGATGATTTTTTAAGGCCAAAATTATTATATGTACTGCATATTTTCATACTATATATATTATGAAAATAATGGGAATAGCAGCTACCTGTGGTATGAAATTTAATGACAGGAATTCAAATTGTTTGGTATAGCAGACTGCAAACAGCAAGCACAGATAACAACCATGAAGAGAGCCCAACGCCATTTCTGTTTCACCACATGGACTGCCAGCAGAGGGCACACAAAGGTTTGAAATCGAAAACCCTACAGCAAAAAAGCTTTCACTGTGCAAAGTAACCTCAGGTTAACACTGTACACACCGCATTATCTCGAGCCTTCCTAGTATTTACAGCTAAGCCTCTGATCCCGCAGTCAGAAAGGCACATAGCAGCAAACGACATGTTTAAAAGTCAGGTTGTAAACACACACTGGTTGTGCCTCCTACCACCCGGAGAAATGAATACAGAGACACTGGCAGAAAATTTGCTAATAACCCTCTATTCCCACACTTGAAGAATAAGGAAACTGCTCAAGTAACAACATCAAAGACTTCACTGTAATGAAGCACACAGGCACACACATTGCTGCTAACATCTACTACTTCTATTCAATCTCCCAGCCTTCCCCAAAAGCCCCTTTTCCAAGCAGTCCCCACTCTCCAAAATATACACCTAACTGTTGGGCTAATTTCTTGAGATTTGGCTCACTTTGATTGAAGAGGGCCAGCTACTCCTCCACGAATTTGTTACAACAAGCATTTCTAACAAAAGAGGACATGACTTAAAAGATGTTAAAATGTCAGCAAAATACACCACCTAACACTGCAGGACTTGTCAATACTTCAGTGTTACTTTGAAATAAATATTCACAGAAGTAAAAACTAACAAGCTAATCACTGCTTTTTGATGGGCAAAGGAAAACTACTCAGTTTGATGAAACAGTGCCAGAACATGGCCACACACACTCACTCTAAATATTGCTTGCGTTAAGTCTTTTGGTGGTGACTCCAAACAGAAAGGAAGGTTGTTCTCAACCGATGAAACACAAGGCAAGCTGTCTTTTGAAATCCATATCCTGTCTTAGGCTGAGAAAACAGGTACTTGAGCAGGACAATCAGGTTACTGGAAGCTGAGAGCACATTTCAGAAGGACCAGCCAACTGCTCTCCTGACATTTGCACACAAGTAAATGCCAGCAGGTCAGGCCTCCATTTTTTTTTTTTACTTTGTTGTTGAACCTACATAAACTTCTATCCTCTATAATATCCCACAGTATTTAGTTTCACAATGTATTTATATATAGCAGATATCAAAGGCCTTGACAGCAGGCATCACAACACAGAAGGAAAGTCAGCTGGGGATGTGAGACCAGCTCTACGAACAGCGTTCAACACACTTAGACCTTTGTCCGTCCTACACAGAATCACAGAATCAACCACGTTAAAAAAGACCTTTAAAGATCACTACATGACCCATGTTCGACACATTTAGACCTTCATCCACTCTACATGACACTGTGCAACAGTTTCAGACCTTCGTCACAGTGTATGTTATCTACACTGATGTTGCTGTGTTGCCGAAATTCCAAGTCTGGATGCAGTTCTGCCAAAGGGTGCCGTTGCAAGGATGTCGTAAAGTGGTCTATACAGAAGACCAGCTCAGCCTGAAATATCACTGCACTTACACCCACCATTCTACTGGCAAACTCTATTGTTCCAAATACTATAATCTCAACTGATAAAAAAAACAAAGTTTTGCTCCCTAAAATCCTGCTTGCTGTCCCTTGAGACTGTTCTTCAAGACAATAAAGGACTTTTCTCCATCTGCCACTGTCTCCCTCCAGGTACTACTACTGAATGAAGAAATGTTATGTTCAAGTTTTCAGTTTCGAGGTAAATAAGGAATAAAATCACATGTGACTGTACCTGGCCGACACTTTCTATTGGCAAAAGGCACCTTGTCTAAATATTAATTATGATACATCACTGAGAGGCTTTCAGGTAAAGTCAATATGGAAACAGCACAAGGGCTTTGGAGGTAGGTTCGGTAAGATTTAGGGGATTGTTCTCTCTTCTGATAAT